AGCATCCATCGGCTCGTTCTTAAGCAGCTCCGCTGGAGCCATCGCTGCTGGCTGTGCGATGATTTGTGGCAGGGAACCAGTCCAGGTTAAACTAGATCTTGGGTGGGGTGGTTTTTTTTCAGAAACCCTGGACAGACAGATCTCCCTCTGCGTCGAGCTCAGCCTGGTGCAAAGGGAGCAAGCCTGCTCTCCCGACGGAGATAAATCGTGCTCCCAGCTCCAGCGGGGAAGCCGCCTGCCCAGGGCTGCGAGAGCCAACGTAATTCCTCCTAATATGTCGGCAAACTCAATTAGCAAGTACCCTTGTACCCTCAAACAGCAGAATCTTGCTGGGCACTAGCTAATTTCCATCATGGCTAAAAATAAATAAAAATGGACAAGTTAATACCACCCTGAGGAAATAATTCATGTCACAGGCTGTACAGAAGAACATTTCTCAGCAGACTCGAATCCACTGGTAAGAGATTTCTTCGCCCGCCTTTAATAACAGGGGTCACAGCAGGAGGGAGCAGTCAGGGGAAGTTTTTCTCCCTCATGCCATACAGCTCAGAGAAAAAAACCAAAAGCCAGCACTTCCTTTGTGAACTATTCTGTAGGACTAAAATAAGGGAAAGGTCTTTGTAATTGTAAACTCCTCTACCAGTGGTCAGTATCTAAGGCAACAGACTGACCAGAGAATAAGTGGAAATTTTCTTCCTCAAGTCAGTTATATTTTCATTAACCATTTTCCCACCATTTGTAAATTACAGATCCAGCTAGTTTTCATTAGTCTCAGGTCCCTAACTTGTCCAAAAGCTGCTGCTTAGTGAGAATATACTTTGACATGTCTCAGATTTTTAAGAAAAAAGAAAACTAAGATTTTTTCCCAGTCTACTATTAAACTATACGTTCTGCTACATAAAAGAAGAGCTCTAAGCTTGACAGTAATTAGCATTTTGACCTCCTGAGAAGTCTTTTCATTTTAAAAATTATTTTTACTATTAGATTGCCTCCTAGCCATGCACACATCCTCACATTCCTCACGGTATCGCAGCTCGGTCTCGCAGTGCAACCCCTTCACAGGCAGACTCCGCACGTCCAGTCCTTCCACACAGAATCACAGGCTGGAAAAGACCTCTAAGATCACGAAGTCCAACCATCCACCCAACACCACCATTGCTACTAAACCGTGTCCTGACGTGCCACATCTACACGTTTTTTAAACACCTCCAGTCTGATGGGGCTTGACTATCTCAGCTGTTAAGATGCCTCTTCAACATGAAGAAAATGCCTCTGGTCACCCCATGTTGCCATTATTTCATACGACGACATAAACAGAGTTTCCTTTTAGAGATATGTACGCGAAACATCCCTCTGTACACTGCCACATTGCCTGGTTTGCTCCCAGGTTCATGGAGCAAGGACAGCAGACAACCCTCTCTGCTTGTTTATGAAGAGCTAGCAAAGCTGGAAATGCATTTTTTCTGCTAGAAAAGGCACCGTGTGGAAGGCAAGCACGGCAGTTTGGTCTCTGTGCCGCTCTCAGCCTGTCTGTGGCCAAAGGAGTTAACTCTCTGAAGAACTGTAAAGAAAAGCAAGAAGCTGGTGTTGATGCCTGAGTAATATTAGTTTGAAACTCTACTTTTCTGGCCAAAGAAAAAAAACAAGTCAGAAGATTAAGAGGCAACGTCTTCCTCCAGCTCCTACCGCCCGCGGTGACAAGCACTTACACGAGAGCATTAAACGCTCCAGAGAAACATGGCACCAACCGCTGGGCAGAGCAGACACCGAGCTGCCACGCTGCATTGTTTGATGGGATTTTATTTAAAAAACTTCTATTAATCTCAGGCACTGGAATACCACGGGAAGTGCCTAAAATAGAGCAAGAGACGCCTGCTGCCGCATTTTGTCTTACTCGAAAGGACATACGCTCTCCTCGGGACGAGAGCCTGGAAGATGGTTCCTGCTGCCCATGTTTGGGAAGGAGCGAGGAGCCTTTCTTCAGGATGC